AAGGAGGGAGATGGCATGGCCAGGAAAGCCAGAGAATGTATGTTCCCAATGCTGGCAGCATTGGTCTGGTATAAGAACAAAAATTATAGGCTTTGTGTATTGACTTGTGGGGGGACTAAAAATAGTTTTGAGAATGAGTCAAATCCTCAGTTCTGTGCTCAATTTCTCTTCAAAGTCCCTCTGGAGCAAACTTTATCCTATTTTTACAGCTGTAGCTTGTAGGTTGTCTACAGGAACTTCACTGCAAATAGCAATTATTTTGTACTTTTACTAGCGGTCTAACTCACTGATTTTGATGGGAGCTTGTCTGAATAAGGACTTGGGGATTTGTCTCAACATATTTAATTGGACTTAAAGTGTGAGCTCTAGGAATAAGAGGCTGCAGTTAGCATGAACTCGAATAATGCTAATATGGGGTGCAATTAAATGACTAAAAAGAATGGGTACACGAGTTGCCTTGCCTGCCTATCTCTTAGGTGGCCAGACTGTGTTAAGAAGTTTTAATTTTGTGGCTTCTTTGATACTTTGCGCAAAGTCCTGCCCTCAGACATGCACACACAACTTCCATTGAATTAATACATCTCCTGTTATCTCTTGGTGCTCCATCTAACCCTTTCTCCAGTTGTAGACTCCTCTGACAGCTCAGTGAGTGTAACATGATTCATCCTTCCCTCCTCTTTCTCTTCCCTTGACTAGACACTAACAAACACAACAGAACTTGAGACAAGAGAAAGAGGCCTCATAATGAAAGATTCAATCACGTCTTACCAAAAACAAAGCAGGGCGCCAGCCAGTGCGTGAAGCTGACACCACTGCTCTAATTGAGGTGCATAAATGAGAAGCAGAGAATGGTCCCCATTCACCTCTGGCGCCAGCAGGTGCAGCGCCTCTGGCCTCTGCGCTGCCACATCTGTTTAGTGCTGGATTTGGCCTAAATAATAAAAACTGTATATCAGGCAGTTTTAAAAGGCCAGGCTCTTTCCACTGAACTGCTGAATTTTCTCCTGGCCCACACACATGTGTATCTCTTAATCAGTGTTAACAGCAGGAGAATCTCCATTATGTTGTACACACATTTCTCCTGCTTCTCTCCTCGCTCTATTCTGGGGCACATGCTTTGTAGCTGCTATATAACCTCACCTGCCTCCTCCACCAAACAGCAGCAACATTCCCACAAATGCCATTTGATAACAAATAATTCATTCATGATACTCAATATTGTCTGTGTTTTCTATTTGGGTCTATGCTGTCATTTTCTACAGTTGTTTGACTGTAAGGCAGAGCTCTTGTTCATAAGGGGAATGTGACTTCAATTTCTAAATTCATAGTTAAAAATTACTTTTAAAAATGTCTCTAGAACACAACTAGATTACTGACAACACTGGAGTTCTCTTGTATTCTGCCCTGATTTACTGTGTGATTGCAAACAACTCACCTACTCTATACAATGGGTCATGTACACATAGACCTAACAGAAGCTACACATGAGGACCAGATATAAGGGAGAGAAAAAGTAGCATATAAAAAAAGATAAACAATGCACAATATATACAGAGTGGCAAGACAGCAGGGAGGGTTTTAGAGACAATGTCGGCAGGAAAGTGAAGTTAAAATGGCAAAAAAGGATGATATCTGGTTTTATGCATTTATATATAACATGTATGAGGGTGGGCAAGGGGAAGGAATTCAGAACAGCCAGACTGAGTAAGTCCTAATATCAGTTTCTTATTCTAAGAGTGGCCAGCACCAAGTGTTTCAGAAAAATGGCAAAACCCCTTCATTATGTGGATTTGGCATAGTCTGCCTCCCAAATTTAGCTAAAGACAATTATAAGTAATGATATATTATTAAATAATAATAGCAATAATAAATTATAATTTCAGTAAGTAGGAATTAGCTCAAGTCAGGAGTTTGCAAAAAACTTAAATTTGGGAAGAATGAAGAGACAGATTTGGAGAGTGTAAACACAGGATAAAGCAGCATGATGTACCAGTAGCCTTGGTGTATACATATATACATATATATAAAATGGGAAATGGCAAGGAATTAAATGAGACTCCAAGTAGGCATGTCAAAACCAAAATGTTCTACTAAAAGTAATAAAGAACACTGGTGAAGAAAGGAATATTTTGCAGGAATTTTTACTTGGGCCACATTAAGTTTGACGACAATGAAACAAACTATTAATTACTAAGGTGAATTAACTCCCTTGAACCAAATGTGTAAGAGTTAAACAAAAAAAAAGAGAGAGTGAGAATATGTTAATGAAATATATGCAACTGAGAAATTCTGTCATGGCTACTTTACAGGAGATATATATTCTGTATAGATAATCTGAACACATTTTTCTGGAGTTATATGAAGTACATCCTTCTTTCGGGCCTCTTTGAAAAGCTGACCAACTGTCTGATGGAAAAAACACTTTTCTTGATGACAAACAAAGCACAAACACTAGTGATGGTAAGTCAAGAGATGATATTCACAGTAAATTCATACACATTCTCCTGAACTGCTAAATTAGTGCATTAGTGTGTTTCTTTTTTTCAGATACACAGCATGGATCCAGATGTGCCTTCTGATACATCTAGAAACTTGTGTTGGTGGAAGAACTTGGTCTAAAATCAAGAAGTCACCATAAAAATGTGGGAACTTAGTGTCAACTAGGCTATTAAAACATGAGTGAGATGCACACATCTCAAGAGATCTACACCAAAACAACAAATTCTTGCTCCTTTCCACTGTTAAGTTAAGGTCACCCTGCCTAACAAACCATTTCATACAGAACCTCTCCCCCCAAAGTCTACTATGCAGGCAATGGCAGATACAGGCAGCTGAATGACTGAATACTCTAGGTCATCCAAAAAATTAGATCAAAGAGTCCCTGTAGTCTATTGAAATGCAATTGCTTCCAAATCACATTGTGGTGTTCCAGGCTTGAAAGAATGGGTCACTGCGGTTTTATTGTAGGGAAGCTATTGCTAATGAAAGGAACAATGGAAAGATTAGTGCTACCAACCATATAGAAGAAACACCACTTTCGGTTTAATTGCAGTGAACAAAGCAAATAGGAAAGAAGGGCAACCAAGTGACAAAAGTAGTTGGTGCAAAGAGGATATAGAGGCTATTCACAAGGTGCCCTTGATCAGGGCACAGCGTCCAGACTTAACATATGATTACTGAATTTGGATCACAGTAAAAAATGACGTGGTTGTCATTAGAGACAGCTGACGACACATTTTTAAGAAAGCAGCCTTGCAAACTGAATGACTAAGAATCCTGTTGATTATTTTCCTGCTATTCATTAGCAGCACGGAAATTAATAAATGAGTAGAGGGAAAGGAACAATTAGAGGGTTTTTCTTTGTGCAGGAGATTATTGTAAATAAGTAAAGATGTACTTCAATTACCAGCTTAAAGTAACAATTCAAAGTGAAATCTATTGAAACTTGCAAATGATTAAAGAAAAAGATAATTGAGGTACTGAAAAAGTTCTCCCATCGTAAAGTTGTTCAAGCCACAATATTTATTCTCTTCTGAACAGTTCCTGAACCTTTCCTAGGTGAAGTCTCCCAGTCATAACAACCCATGGCGAGACAGTGGTAAAAGATCCATTCCAGTCTCAGTTAAGATCACCTCAGTTTGATTCTCTGTGACCTGAGGCAGACTTGAACCTTCCTTCTCCGAACAAGACTTGACAAGTCCAGCTCCACTCAGCTCCTGAGACACGCTCAAAAATCACAACCTGACCAAACAGGAGAGATCACCCAGACTGCAGCTGATGTACACAGAGCATTTCCCTTGGAATGATAAACACTGCAATAAGTAAAAAGACTTTTGAACAGATATGATAAAAACAAGCAGTAGTGAAAATGAAGCTTCCACAGAAGTACAGTCCATATAAAAACTCACAGCTAAGCAAACCTGATACAACTGTTCAACACTATGAACAAGCCATTAAAAAAAAAATAAAAACAACAACGAAAAAAAACCAAACTTTAATCCAGTTCCTGGCCGCTGCTCCAGTCACAATTTCAACTGTTCAAAAGAAACTTAAAGAAAACATTTCTTCTAAACTACTGGGACCAAAGACCACCACCATTCAAAATATAACCCACCCTACTTGAACTAGCTGTCAATGATCAACAGCTCTTCCTAAGGCAGGATCCTCTTCTCAAGTCACGGACTGTCATTTCAGGGTGTATCAAGTGCCCCTTTCTGCATCCCATCACGCAGTTCAGTAGCTCTTATGGAAAAGCTATTGGGAAAGAGAATTCTAGAGAGTGACCCAACATATCATCTGGGCCTTAATCAAATTGCTTCTTACAACCTAGTGCTAGTAAACGGCCTTGCTTTAGTCTGCATCCATAGGATACTGGTTGCTAAGTGTAAGGCCTTTGGCCCAAGCCTCATCAACAGCAATGAATTCTGCAGATGGTTCTTCTGAACTACATCAGTCACTAAAGACTTCTTTGCAGACAGTGAGCACTGTCAAATACATATAATTAAAAATCATAACTTAAAAATCATAACACGATTCATAACACCTGCTGAATTAAAGAATTCACCCTTAAAGCAGCTGAAAAACCTAAGTGTAATATTTACCTTTCTTCATAAATTCATGGATTATTTTTTCTTAATAGTAGTAAGACTGACACAAAGACAGGAAAAGCATTTACTTAAGAGCAAGCAAACACTGCATAAAACTATCACAAACTATAACAAATGAAAATTGTCATGGACTAAGTACCAGGATTACCAGTCAGTCTTCTCTTTTCTCCTCAAAAGGTCATAATCAAAACAAAAACCACAGAGCGTGCAAGACACATCACTGCTAAACCTCTTCTGTTAAACGCAATAGCAACTACTGACAAGAGTAAAATCATCAAATGGAGTATGGCATCCAGCATGTTATATCAACTATGCACCTTTGCCAAAACAGCTACCGCTCCATGTATGAAAACACCGGTTGGCTTATATAAAAACAAACAAACAACCACTTACCAAGCCTACACATGTAGATATCGCTACCGAAGAGGTGCTATCGTTCCTTATAAATCCCTGATAGAAACACTGCTCAACTTCATGTTCCTGAGAATCTGAGACTCCATCCTTCCCGAGTACCTGGACAACAAAACTGTTGCTTAAAATGGTCGAAGGTTTAAGTTCTAAATGAAGTTCCTGTCCAAATGCTGAAAATTTGTAGTGCAAGGAACTCTTTGAACTTTGAGCTGATCTCTTTCTCCTAGTTCTGTGCAAAACATCATGTGAAATGTATGATCCACTGGAATCCACTTTGACAGGTGTCACAAACACATAATCTGCAATGGCAAGAAGTTCAGTCAGCTTTTGTACCCAACAAATAAAACAAATGTCATTCTAACAAAGTAAGCAGCAGGTTTGCACCATGACATGGGCAATTCCCTCATTCAGGGAACAGCCCCAAGGCTCTATAGGCTGCACATATACAGGCCTGACTGCACAGACGGCAGCCAGCATTCCCACAAGCTGCTTCTGAAGACATTTGTCATCACCAGCAGGTCGGTAGATGCTGCCCTCCCCCTGCACTAGTTGCTATTAAATGTGAAGGCTGTTACGGTTTGAGGGTTTTCTTTTTTCCTTCTTTCCTTCCTTCCCAAAGAACGCAGCAAATATTGCATCATTGCAGGGTAACCATGTCTGAGACTTTGTAGAACTGTACCACTTGTTCAGATGGATTAAAGGATTAATTTATTAATGCCTTAACAGAGTGAGACCTCCTCTCTTTGTAGTGACTTGATTAGACTGGGCTTCAGATTGTAACTGACCTCCAGCAGAAAGAGATTACATCCTACCTAATAACCTTTAGTCAGCCTTTGCTAATTTAATGTCAAAGAAGTTTATTGGATAAAATATGTGAATAATTACAAAACTATTTGTGAGGACATGACCGAGATCTACTCACAACCACCTAATATGTATATATATATGTATATATATAGAGAGAGAGGCCATGAGTCAAGCAGGTGCAGAGCTGTAGGTACCTTCAGGTACTGCTGTTGATTTGTCTAGAAATGGCTCTCTCTTATCCTAGAAGTTTGGTCTGAATTTTAGCTGTTCGCTGAACTAGCACCATTGGCATTTAACCCTGGTTATATAGGTTGATTTTGCCAAATAAACAATTTCCTAAACCCCATTCAATTTTCAGAGCTCTAGTCCTCTATGAACACTTAAATATCTCCATGTCTCTGACTGTAAGACAATCTACTTCTCTTTCTAAGCTGAAATACACTATTACAAAAAAAAAAATCCTTCTTATGCTGTAACAGATGTTGCAAGAACTATTACTCTCTTTGTCCGAATAGATTTTATTGGACACACATTAAGCTGAAAGCATAAGCAGTGATAGGTCGCTTTTGCTTAGACAGTGGAAATAATACATCAAGAGCTTTCACTTTGCTGCAGTGGTGTTAATCAATGGCAGGACACTCAGCAGGCTGGTGGCCAAAAAAATGTAAGCAGCTGCTGGAGAAAGGGAATCCCCCAGTGAACAGACCATAGGGTGCAAGAGGGTTCTCCCTTCTGCATCCCGGAGTGCTGCTCTACTGAACTATTTTTTTCCCCCCGGTCACCCAATAAAAAGCACACACTGCACTGCAAACTGCCCCAAAGCCACCAACACCAGAGTGTTTGCTTTGCAAACTGGTAACAAACAGCTGCTTTCCCTGCAGGTTGTACTGCACTCGCTGCCCTCCTCCTTTCTCCTACTCACTCTCTTCACTGCTTTTGTTTCATTGCTCCAAAGCAAATACATGAGGTTTTGCTGTTTGGGCTACACGTACCCTCATCTTTCCAACTGCAATATAGACATGAATGCATTTACCCTCTTAATTATGTTTTTGCTCTGCCTTTACATATTGCTCCTCTCAGCTCTTGCCTACAGGGCTGAGCCAGTGACCCCCTGCCCAAGGCTAGCCACGTTACAGCAGCCAACTTGCTTTCACTTTACACTTCACTTTACATTCCCCTAGCCCTGCGGCTTCTTCCTTTGCAAGCTCAGCCTGCCCACAGCAGCATCCGCGCAAACGCTCACACACCCCGAAAGAGAGCGCGATACAAACCATGGCTTAACTCACTGATGCTGTCACCGGTGAGAGTGGTGGCGTGAGAAATGCAACAGAGGCAGCACAGCTGAAGGGTCTGCAAGAGACAAAACAAAGAGAGAAAGGGAGTGTTGGGCGAGATGCAGTGGCAGGGGAAGGCGGGGAAGCCCGCAGGGGAAGCGCAGCGGGAGAAGGTGCTCGCGACCTGCCTTTGCGGC